AAAACGGAAGTTAGAATAACCCATTTGTTTGTGCCAATGTAGGGAATTATCAGGCTTACCTGAAGTGTCCACGTGAGCTACTTTGCTTGGGGTTGTCGTACTTACTTAAAACTGGTAGGGGCGTGTTGTTTCACCAGTGTTGGCTTCGAACTCTGTTCGGTAATCAAAGAACCGAACGCATTTCTTGCAGCTGGGGAGTTGATTTTGAAATCATCTCCAACGGCCTAGCAAACACAGCAGATTAAGCTTCAGCTGTGTTGCATATAGCACGTTGACTTCTCCTTCGTTTTGATTAGTGTCCGTGATTTTCATCTTGACATCGCCGTTGTCCTCGATAGGAATACGGTGGTTGCCACCAACCGTAAAGGAATTACCAGCACTCGAGATCAGCATCTCGAACTACTGTGGGTTGGATGTAACTTGCCGAGTATAGCCCAAGTCGATATTCGATGTCGAAATCGCCAGTGTAGTCGATTCGTTTAACGAAGCCTAGAAGGTTCTTTCGTTTCAAAGTGGCGATGATGAGGGTCTTTTAGATGGTGAGTTCCTGCCATTAAGGCGTGGAAACTTGCGATCGTCGACGGGGGCTTGCGCTGGGCTCATAATCTGACAAAGGCAAGGCGTGATGAAGGGAAGACTGGGATGTACGAAAAAAAGTAAGTTGTGATTGACATTTTTTTAAATCGAGTTTCCTTGGCACCATTGAATTATCTTTTCTGTATAACTGATGTTACCGAAGTACCCAGGGTTGAGTACAAACACGTTTTGTATGTTAAGTGATTTTGTACACAAACTTGTGTGATATGCCACCAACTCGGAGTCATCGCCAACAAACCCTTTGGAGGGGGGGGGGGGGGGGTACGACAGTCAAGTTTTATGCTCCGGCCTCGGGCTACGACTACACCATTCAGACGTGGGAGGCGCTTCGGCGCAGATCCAATTAGGCATGGCTGGGGCTGGCCCCTCCATCCCCAGATGCGGTCAACGGTGGTCTTGCCACATGTTCTCGTGCCTGTTGTAGTCTAGTCTACAACCATTGATTTGTGACACATGATAGTTAACCAATTCAATTACTATCGTTACGTCTTATTGCTCCGCTTTAACCCTCATAAATCTTATCCTTGTTGCACTTCAACCTGTACACTATCTTAGCGCTTTAACTTCCCGGACGGCTTGATATACCACATGGTCCAACGTCAAGTACCTTTTGATGCAGTGCAACCCAACTCATATCGTCGTAAGGGGAGGCTTAGTTTTTTTTTTACACCCACCAGCCTTCTGTTTTTTTCCCTTCTCAATTGAGTTTGAGGTAGTGGCGTTGTGAGGACATGCACAATCGTATCTTTCGGAATGCAGCATCATACTAATATTCTCCACTCGTCATGAATCGCTTTAGTATCCTTCCCTCCTCATGAATATTTTGAGCATACAACCCTTTGATATCAACGTGTTTTTCTTTTTATCAAAGTACGATTTACTGTGACCTTAATAATACTAATTGTCTCTTAATTTCACACCAACATACTATCGGTTGTGTTTGCTTAAAGCCAAATTCCTCTGGTAGTACCACTAGCCATTGATTCTCTTTAATACGATCGCTCGCCGTTATCGATTCACTCTGTGCAGCATGCAGACCCACCATAATTTGTTTCGACTATTCCAAGGAATACACGCGTCTGGCGTAATACTCACATACGCGGTACCGACTTGCTATTATCATTAGCATTCGCGTAGCTCGCGTCAGTGTACAGCTCATATATCACTTCCTTACCTTTCCGTTTGATACCAGTTCGTATTTTGCCGTCGCATCTGATACTTAAGTGCTCTCTGGGCTGCTTTGTAACCACTCTTCTGACAGAAGCGGCTGTATCTCGGCTTGTGTCACGAGCAAGGTACATTAGTGGTCGCACTAAAACTATGGGCTGACTAGAGTAATTGAACTGAGATTTCCTCTGAACTTAAATGTTTCAGATTTTTTTTTAAGTACTACCGTCTTTGCCTGTGGTGTTGGACCTGCATTGCAGTCAGGCATATCAAACTTGCGTAGTAAATTCATAAGCATTTATGCCGGGGCGTACTCAGCATCCTATTTGCCCGATTCATCTTGCTCTCCATCTTCAACATATAGCGGATATCATCCAAGCTCTTCATAACTTTGATGCCAATTGGGTCTTCACCTTTTGCACCAATACATATTGCTTAATAAGGTAGTAATGCTACCACTACCCATCTCTCTTGTTTACTTACTTGCCGAGCGCCACCGCTACGCGGCGATTGTTTTGTTTGATCGCCGTAAGGTTTTTCCCACCTCCGCTTTGCTCCGACAGGGGATTTTTATTTATAATTGAATTATTATAATAAGTGGCCTTTCCCCTTGTCAAAAAAAAAAAAACAAACTAAAATGCTAATAATGTTATGATGAACGCACAAAACACGCAAAACAATATAAGTAGCTAATTTAGTTTTTACGTGTCAAACATTTGTCGAAACACAATATTGCTTGTGTAGACTCCGTCTTCTTCATCCTTTTCCGGATATTCAACAAGAGCTCGAAATTTTGAGCGTGATGTAACCCTTAAAAGCACGACGTACAGTTGGCCATGTTACAAACACGGTGTAGGAAGATTTAGTCCTCGATTCATCGGTGTTTGACCTTGGGCCTTGTTAATAGTCATCGCAAAAGCTAGTTGTAGCGGGAACTGTTTCCGACGTAGGCAGAAAGGAAACTCTCGAGCACGCTTGTCGCTTACAAAAATAATTCGTGGAATAAAAACATGCTGACTGTGCCGCTCCCCCGTCATGATTGTCGCGTGGATGACATGGGGTTTAGGTCAACGATCCTCAGGCGTGTACCATTACATAATCTCTAGTCCGGATTCAAGTTTCTCATCATCATGGCAGGAATACCCTTCTTGAGATTTAACCGGTGGGGTGGAATTCCGTTGATGTTTACAGAATGAAGAAATTCTAGTTCGAAAAAACCTCCGTCATCATCTTCAACGGAGTCAGTAGATACGTACTCATGAGCGATCGTTTGAAGTCTGTTCGAAACCGCCTTATTGATGCGGTGGACCAATGCGTTGGTTGTCGTCAAACTTGTGCGGTTGACGAAGTATTCGTCAGTAGCCACATCTGGATCGTTCACATCAGCATACATGAA